GTTACCAAAAACTTTATTAGGAAACGATTTAGAGGTGGTTTTTGTAGACAATTTAAGCAAGATGATTCACTTCAGACCAATAACAAAAACAATGATGGCTCCACAACTTGCTCAATTGTAATTAGATGATGTTTTTGTGAATCATGTATTAAGCAAAGTTTCAATCACATATAGAAGAATTCATTTCACTAGTTTATTTTGGAAAACTTTATTTAGTTGTTTCAAAATCAAATTAGCAATGTTAACAACTTATCATCCTCAAACTGATGAACAAACAGAGTAAGCCGATAGAACTGTAGAAACTATGTTACGGACATTAGAGAAACAAGAAGAGTGGGATACTCTTTTGGCTCTTGTGAAATTTGCATTTAACAATTTTGTAAATGTATCCACAAAGGTGTCTTCATTTAACCTCATGTACCGTGTTCATCCCATTATTCCATCAAATTTGATGAAGATTTTGAAAGAAAAGAAGTTTTCAACTAAAGAAGCAACAATCAACAAGTTTATGAAAAACATCCACTGAGACTACATCAAGCAAAAAAAAAGTTTTTGATTGCTCAATATTGACAAATACAACAGGTTGATGCTCATCGTCTCAAGTTAGTTTTTCATATTGGGGTTCAAGTTTGGCTATCTACAACAAATATGTCTCTTGTAGTAATATCAAAGTTTAAACCTAGATTCATGGTACTTTTTTGTATTAAAACGTGTTGATGAAATGTCATACAAGTTAGAGCTTCCGTCACATATGAAAATACATCATGTATTTCATGTCTCACAATTGCAAAAACATGTATCGCGATCAAAACAATTTACAAACCAACCAATGTTAACTCTTTTAGCAACCTTGATAGCTGATCAAGATGAATTTGAGGTAAAAAAGATCTTCAAGAAACAGATTTAAGGTCATAAGTATCTCAAGGTTGAGTATTTGATTCAATGAAAAGAATATATATCATAAAAACCAACTTGAAAACCTACTAAAATCTAACTAATGAACCACTAATAGTTCAAAAATTTGAACGGATGTGCAACGAGTATGTTGCATCTTAAAAGAAGAGAGGTTTGTAATCATCTTTAGTTAGTTAAAACTAAAGTAAAGTTTATTGAAAATGTCTATATATTTGCTTTTGCGTGCACTAGTCATAAATGTCATGTCAACGATCTGTTTGCTTGACAGATAGAGAATAAAAATGTTAATGACAGAGTCACGTCAATGATCCGTGTGCTTGTTAGGCAGAGAATAAGTGTGTTAATTGACAACGCCATGTCAACAATCTGTGTGCTTGTTAGGTAGAGATTGAGTGTTTTAGTTTATAGCGTCACGACAGCAATCCGTGTACTTGTTAGTATTATACCCCATGTCATCCATCCACGAGGAGTGAAATGGATGGTGTGTATGAGATCTTATCTCCTTGTATTTGTTGGTAAGAGCTATATAAGAAAGAGTATAACCATTGTTTGTATCTCTCATCTTCAAAATTTGTGTTTTGATCTTAAAATTGAAATACTCTCTAAATGCTAGTGTTACATAGTGTCAGATAAAAAAATTAAGCTAGTCAAAATTAACGATAAATTCAATCTAACTATTATGTTGACCAAAGTTTATCCTTTGGAGAGTTTCATACGACATTGTGCTACTATGCAAGCTGTGCATGGAGAGCACGTGTTGAGTTTTGCTAACATAGTATCTTCAGTCATCTCTTTATATATTGACTTTATCCTGTGATGGCTATGATTTAAATTTTAATTAACTTTCGTTTAAAGAGTAGTCTTGTGTTAAGTTTTTTTCTAGAATTTTTTGAGGAGTAAATTTATAGGTAATGAGGTTTTTGTTTCCTCTATGCTAGGAGGTTTTTTGCTAACTTTTTATGTTATTACTCTATCATGTTATAGCTACGGCTTAGTTATAGTATACTCTCGTTTAAAGAGTGACTTTGTGTTAGACTTCCGTCTAAAATTTTCTCGCGGAATAATAATTTAGATTATAGAGTTTACAATTTCTTTAACATGAGTTAAGGGGGTGATTGTTGAGGTATATTCTGATTAAGGATTAATCTCATGTTTAGCTATTAACAGCTAAGATTGATGGCCGATATTGGATATATATATCTGATTTTTCTGTGTTTTACTCATTGTTGTGATTTCATCTCGGTAGTATAGTTTCTCGCCCGTGTTCCTTTGTGTACATAGACCTGATAAGGATGAACTACATTACCATTAAGTGTATTCTGTTTGTCTACTATTTATAAGTATGTCGGACTCACAGTTTAACATCAAAAGCTTTTTATGATGCTCATTTTTAACAAAACTTTAAACTAACAATTTTCATAATTAATTTCTGGTTTTTATTGTCAACAAATGTCAAATAAAAATCAAAGTGTCAACCCTAAACAAGTGTCAACAAGTGTCAAATTGTTATTTGTCATAAGGTAGAATATCAACCATGAATTATTTCAATTTAGGATTTAGTGAAATTAAGATCAATATAGAGAGAATAAACTCTAGTTTGTGATATTTTTTTGTGATCTCAACCTGATTTTATCTATTTTACATTCAACTCGATTAGAATCAATATTTTAAGAATTTTTTTTGAATTAAAACTCAATCTTACTGAAATAAATTTAAGTTTTTCAAAATAAAAATTTTATTATTTAATTTTAATTGAAATAAATTTAGTCTTTTTGCTGCTATATAATTATATTTTATTTTTTTAAAAAAAAATTGATTTGAAATGCAAAAAAAAATTATGTTGTAACAAATGTGATAAAAACAAACAAGACTTAAGATTGATATTACAACAATATGCTTTGATGAATTGACTATGATATATCTTTGATTTTATATTTTATTGTACTAATTAGGATTTAACTTTTGAGCCACATTTGGTAATGTAAAACACCAACATTGTTTTTTTACAATTTAGTTTTATTCAAGATGATATTTTTGACCATATTTTTAAGAGACTATCGTTATCTTATTTAAAGATTTTTCCTTTGATTTGAATCTACTTCCAAAGTCAAAATACTTGACATTCTTATCATTTCATAAACATGAGCATTAAGAATCATATTTAATGCCGATTGAATGAAGAGTATGAAGTAAAGGATATCATCATATTTCATTTAGGTTCATTCATAAAAAAGAAAATGCTGTAAGTGATTTTTGTCATATTTTAATAAAGCAACATACATGAAGATATTTTAATAAAAAGCAAATTTTAGCATAGATGAAAAGATTGAGATAGAAGCTGAAAAAGTGGCAAAACATTGAGATAGAAGCTGAAAACCACCTGAATTATATGACTAGGTCTCATGATGACCAAAAAGCATAAGCATTGTTTGAAAATTTGTGATTGTCAAGTTCCCTGAAAATGGTTTTGAGAGTTTTACAGCAACTGTTGTTAAATTTCAGCTGGATACTAACAATGTTCTCAATTTGCAAGATATCAAGGTTGATTGTGGAAGGCGTAGGCAGCGCTGAGACTTGGCACTTTGTTCGAGAGTTTCATCACTCAATAAAAGAGACCCGTTCTGTCAAGGCTGAATCCACTTCACGAGAACAGAACGAGAGTCTGGTCTCAGCATTCGATTCAGTACCACGTTTGGCAGCGGGATGGTGATCAAAAGGCTTTCTACTCCAAATCTGCTCTACAAGAATTTGTTGGCAGCACCAGAGACTCCTACACAATCTTCTGAGAGACATGTGTTTCGGTGAAAGTCGTATGGGAAAACGAAAATTTTGATGGCCAACCCGATGCCGATCTCATGTCCTCTGGTGTCTGGAGGACAAGTTGGCGTCCATGGATTTGGATTCGCCTGTGAGCAAGCAAGCGACCAACCGACCGAGGGACCACTCGAGGATTGAACGAGCTCTGGAATGACGCTGAAACCGAGACGATGAGACAGAGGTGGGAGCTTAGCCGCAGGGGACGAGCATCGAAGCGAGGTAGATTCGGCGTAACAGCTCTAAAGCTTCTTTATGAGACTGAGCTCCTTATTCTACTGTTGAACGAATGGCACTCGCTCATTATTAAAGCAGACATTTATCACAAACGAAGCCTGCCCCTGAGACTGAGCGTTTGACAGATTCAACGCAATCCGTCTTGTTTTCACATCCTGCTTGCAACTGTGTATTGCAAGATAAGACTAAATGTGGAGAGTTTATTGCTCGTCCCCGTTCTGCTGTTTTTGTTACATCCGATTCAGTCAATCGCTCAATCGACCTTATCGTCGTTTCCCGGAACGGACTTGCCAGTGAGTGAATAAGAGAAAGAGAGAAGGCTAAAGCCCCGCGTCAAGGAAAATGCCAGAAGGACCACAGCTAGTACGAGCTTATCAGCCCTTAGGCCGAAACATATTTCTTTAACTCGAAATATTGAACACCACAGATAAATCAACTAGCTTAACCAAATAAACCTTTGACTGAAACAGTTGCAGTTCTAGCTTTTGACTCGTCTCCAACATGGCAGAGCAAAATCATGTCAAAAAGATCGATATACATCAAGAAGTTAAGCAGGCAGAATGGATACCACAGTGCCCGCCCGCCCTCTCTCGCATGCAGCTCAGTTCATACCATCGTTACCATCACGAGAATATACGAAATCAGAGGACAAACTCGACGCAGCATCGAGTTGTAAACAAAAGTGGCTTCTTCACGATGAGGGTTGGCCCTTCAGATGTATGATCAGAGGGACCGGTGAGGCACGACAGATTTCAGGTCAGAAGTGATCGAAGGCCCAAGAAGATGTAGCCTCAAAAATTCGCTGCCTGTGGGTGTATAGAACTCTCGATTGATTGGCCAACGCACTCTTTCCCACATGGGATTGCTTCAGGTCCATGTATAGTCATATCATGAAGGGTCGTCAGAGCGTTGTTTTGGTCCATAGGAAGTTGGAACACCAGCCACCACTGGTCACCATCACCGATCAAGAAGAGAATTGATCGGAATGCATATGCAGGGCTGGTATATATTCAAGCTCTCTAGTACTTGCCAACCTCAGACAGTAGACGAGTAGGTGATCTCAACTCACTAGCATTGCAAGCTTTCAGGGGTTCAAAGGACGTAATACATTGTTTCTGTAAGTGATTAACTGTCCCCGCACACCGCCCCGCCTAATGCACACTCGAACTCCAAAGCCGGTGGAAATGAATCGACTGAGCACCTTGTGGTTCATCGTAGCACTTCTGGTGCAACTCCGTGCAACATCTGTCGTTGGCATCCGACCTTCATGTCAGGAACTACCGCCCAAACTGAAAGGCGCAGAGACGTATGAGCTGCGACCCAAGGATGGTTATTTCACTCTGGTGGATCACGGCTGCACCAGTGCAGAGTTGGGAGAGCATTCTAATGAAAACCTCAAGGGTGTTCACCCCATGGACAGCGAGAGGGCGAAGGGTGTCGGTCTTCCCCACGTAGTAACAGGATCAAATTCAAAAGATACCCTCCAAGCCCAGCAGTTGCAGTGGCCAGAGGCCGAAACCAAAAGGCAAGAGCAAGGTGGAGGTGACAGTCGTCGTGTCCCGAAGCCTGCTAAGTTCGGGGGCGAGGCATCGAAAGATGTGGTGGTGACGGTGGAAGAAAAGGCGCTGCCTGTGGAGCAGGAGAAGGAAAGGGCGAAGGAGAGGGTGGTGATATTGGATGCTGGGGAGAGGAAAAAGCGGGGTGACGCTGATGATGATAGTGTTCCTGAGTACGTTCTCGTGAGGGCTCCCAAGATGGATCGAGTGTCGAAATCTCAGGACCAGATGGTGACCATCAGTCTCGAGACGCTGAACGGCCTCATCAAAGGCAGTCTCTTCCCACCTTCTGGTCCGAACATGGCCCATAACTGGTACATGGCGGATCTTCCTGAGCGCAGCATCTACAAAGACCCTGTCGCCGTCGCCGACCAGATGCTGCTTGTGCGCGTCGTGCCTGCTGACAAATCCATGCTTGACAATGCCGCAGCTGCAGACCTGGATGCCCTTCCCGGTTTCCAGGAACTTCCAGATGGTACATTCCGCATCAAAGACTGAGAGAGCGAATCGAGCGCTCGCCCCTGATCGACCAAAGCATAAAGGAGGTCAGAAGATCCACACACACACACAGAGACATGCGTGTCAATCTGGATCGATCTGGTTGTGAAGCTTCCAACCTTGCGCTGCGCTGGAGTCAAGATCAGCAGGTAGCCTGAGGAGAAGTCCTCAGAGTTGGTAGGATTTCTAATATCGAAACTCAAACAGGAGACGAACCGAATGAATGCGCATCCGTAAGAAAATCTTGCGAATTAGATCCGCCCTGAATTTAATTCGCAATTAATGGGACTGTGACGGCTACAGCCTTTGACGACACTATTGCAAGTGGAGATTGTAAGTGTTACTGGAGAGTTTGTCGCGAGAAAAACGTCTTGGACAACGGTCGCATTTGAACACCCTTCTATCTCATTTTTGCAATTTTTATTGGCAAGAAAAACTACAACAATGAGCATGAGGTGTGATGACGATTTTTGACCAGTGATCGATAGATTTTGACCGCATGTGCTGGAGTCTTGATGGATTGTTAGGTGAGCTGCCACGATAGACACATGCACACACTCATTTCTCACCTTATAAGATTCTTCCCTGATATCGTTCAGGAATCATACAGTGCTTTGAAACGATTCAAGAAGACCTAAGTCAGTCAGTTCAATTTCATTCATTTCACTACCTGGAAGTGAGTGAAGGAACTTGGACGAGAGCGACTGTAAGCCTGGCCGCAAGGCTGCACGTACTTCTATGGCATGTAGATCAATTTGAGACTGTAGTGCTCACAGCGAAATGGAAGTCCGGACTTGGAACGACGAGGGCATTAAACGCAAATAGCAGCACCGGCACTCATCGCTCGCAAATCGTATGTATACATTTGGTACAAGGAAAACGGTATCAGTTCATTTCTCTTCTCTTCCCCGCTCGCTGCTTACCTCGACGTGAACGCGCTGAGATTCTCGAGGGCTTTCCGATAATGTACCGGAGTCATTAATGTGGTAAGGCGGTTACGGTCCCAAAATGAGACGATATGAAAACGAATGGCAAGCGACGGGCGAGGTCGGGTCCACATTTCCGCATATATGAGATCTGAGCGCAACAGAGAAATCCGGAACACTGACCCAGATTTCATTATTACTACCGTAGCAGTACCGTCGACAGAACGACTGTCAGTCCGACAGTCGAGATCCCAGTCATCCTAAACTCCGGACATCTGCACACTGTATGTAGAAGAAGGATGTACCGAGACGATTCGAAGATCTCATATTTATACATGCGTAAATATCTCATTGCGTACAGTACAAAACCTCTTATACAGTTTACACGGAGTGGACACAGTTGGTCGACGCTCGAGAGTCGCAACTGCTGAAGTATCAATATAGCCTTACATACGACGGCGACCTATTCTGGATCGTGCAAATGCTGCCATTTGCTCAAAGTAGACTCTGTAGAGCCGAGGTCGCTACTCAGGCTCAGCCGGTCGGTCGATCGCCAGCGTAGTGTGAGTATCAAATCTATCTATTCTTCTATTTATCAGTAGCTGCCACGAGATAGTGAGCCGGTGTGATACTTTTGTCTTCTCATCTCGAGATCAAAATTGATGGACCGCTTGGTCCAGTGTTGGCTACGTGTGTCTCGGGGGCGTATTTTACAATTCTGTGGAAGGCTGTCCAGAGAAGAATACAAGCGCCGTCGTGCTGGTAGATGTGACGTGAGCTTCTTTTCATTCTGTACGAAGTTCATTTACCAGTAGCTAGCTTGTTGCCGATTTATGCGCACAGATTCACGTTCCTGCATGTAACTGTCTGCCCGGTCGGGTCCGTAGCCCTGCGAACACTCGGTACACCTTTATGGATGTAGTACTTATGGACCAGACTAGGGCAGCCTGAGTCTAGAAAATCGGGATCGCACGATCAATAACACGATCTATACGAGGAGGATGAGCTCGATCTGGTGGGGTAGAGCTTCCGGAATGCAGGCAGCTGAAGAACTTCTTCCCTTACTAGAGGCAGAGGCAGTCGTTGGAAGAGGGGAAGAGGATGGAATGATCATCATGATTGGAATGATTTACAATTCTAAGAGTCGCTGGAGCTTCTCCACATCTCCTCCCCGCAATGCACTCCTGTCCCTGGCTAGATCCGCTGGCCATTCCGCATGGCCGTAGCACTTGTACTGCCGTCGCCATCATGCCGTTTCTGCAGCGCAAATGATGTAAAATCCGATTCTCCTCAGATTGGATGAAATCTGCTCTATGTGCCGGCAGGAATGAAGACTCCTCCAGCACTTACAGTGAATCGATTGAATCTGCGGGCACATGTTTCCAGGAAAATGAGGATGATGATGACGGCAGAGCGGATCAATTGCAGCGCAATGCCGTTACCAAGTGCAATAGAATTTCCTCCCCGTCGTCTTCTTACGGACTTTCTACAGGTGGTGGTGTGTTACTGCTGGACGAGGCGATCATGTTGCTGCTGAGTCCGGGTCCTGGGGGAGGGAGCTCGCTTCCTCTCGGAAGCATGCTGAAGGTCAAACGCTGCTGCCTGTTAACTTCAGCATCGGCTTCTGCTGCTGCTGTCCCAATTTTAGGTCCTTTCGAAGAAACAGTCGTTGAGTCCGAGTTTGGGCCCGCGATTATCTCATGGGACATTTGCACTGAAAGGCTAGCATCCATGTCTACAGGGCCCCCTTCTCCTCCTCCGCCGCCGCCTACTGCACCTGCTCCTGCTCCTGCTCCTGCTCCTCTTCGTAGATGAAGATTCTGAAGAATTTGCGAACTTGGAACAGTGCGACAATGTACTGCGGAGATGGACGACGAGAGGATCAGGAGCGCAGAAGAGATGGCGTACAACATCATCATCCGCAGAAGGCCTGAAGCAGCATCGGTTCTTCCTTCCATGGATTCGAATGACTTGCTGCCGTTATGCTCCTTCCAAATTCCGCCTGGGACATGCGATGCCAGCAGTAGATCGGATCGGATTGCAAGTCCGGTGGGCTCGCGGCCTTGTTCTCCCTCTGCTCCTGATTCCAGTGTAGATCATAGGTCGCTACGACTCGATCTCGACACACGGTCTTTTACTCCACCGGCGAACAGACCACACTGCATGAAATCGCGAGCGCAAAACTTCCACATTCGCTCCCTATCCCGACTGGCGATTCTCAGAACTAGTGAGCACAGAGAGCCAGACGGACAGACAGCCCACAAACACAGATCTCTGGTCGGTCGATGATCCTACGGATGAGTGGCCGAGAGAAAGCCCGACTACTATGTGGAATGGACGAGAGAGAGAGAGAGAGAGAGAGAGAGAGAGAGAGAGAGAGAGAGAGAGAGAGAGAGATGTGAAGGAGAAGAGGGAGAAACAAGGCCAATAATTCGGCACGAGAGCAGTGGACGAGAATAAGTCAATAATTTGGCTTACATGTGCGTCAAGGAAGAATCTCAAATTTTCAAGTCCCTCGAGCTCCAGAGATAGGCAGACAGACAGACAGACAGGGATGAAAGTTAAGCGAGGCAAGGCAACGGGAGCGTAGTGATGGCGCAAAGGTCAATAAGTAGGGAGGGGGCTGACTTTGGCCAACGCCACGAGAGATGGGACGAGACGAGAAGAGCGACACAGAAGGCACCGTCCTGCCGACACCCTCTCTGCCGCTGCGACATTCTCTCGCCACCCCAACTTCGAACCTCCAGGCTTAACGCCTCCGACCGACAGGACCGGCCTCCATCCACCGGCGGCCAGAAGGCAGGCTCCGTCCGTTGCCCCCTGAGCCCGACCCTACCGATCATGTGACCGTCCCCAGCTCAGAGCGCATGCACGGCAGGCGCGGGACGGGCCGCACTCCAAAACAGTCGGAGCACGTCCACGAAGTGCGTGCGTGGCGGCGTGCGTCGGCTCCCTCACCGTCTATCGCCCGCACCCGCTTCCCGGCCATGGATCCCGTTGTCCCGCTCCGTCCGCTCGCCTGCGGCGACCCGTTATCAATTCGTTTCCTGCCGACATGGTCAGGGAGGGCACCCCCAGCCACGCATGCCTGAATGCCATGACGCCGGGCCAGCGACGGTGATGTGGCCTCTTCGTTGCGGCGGTGACGTCTCTCGGTACGACAGCTCATTCCTCCGTCCCCGTTCGAGTCATTCCACCAGCTGTCAGCGTGGCATACAAGCTGACAGTATCTGATCGCTCACTCACTGCCTTTCCTCCATCCCGGACATCCAATACGCATTTTACGCCTCCTATTAATAAAAATATGAACATGTTGCGGATGGGCTGCGTATCTTACACCCGATCGTCCAGTCGCCAATTTAGCAATCGATTCGATCCCTACGACATATTTGAGCTCCCCTCGTACCCGCACTGAACACCCCGAGCTCTCTCATACCCCGGTTGATTGGAAGTGGACGGGATGATGTCGTTCGCGCATCCGTAGGATATCTCATGAAAGTGTAAATATTGGTTTCCCGAGCATAAGGCGGAGACGACAGTTCATGGTCTTCCACATGATGGCGCATATTTATGGATGAGGAAAACAGCAGAAGGGTACGGACTTGTAGAGTTTCAACAGCAGCAGAAGACATCTTTCGACGCGCGTGTTTGTGAAACCTGGCTCCTACATTTGAGAGGAGATCCCACTCTTCATGGGATTCCTCAAGGTTCCTCTTCTCGTGTACTTCACAAAGCGGCATCAACTTTTCTTATATAAGTATCCGTGGTTAGGGCCAGTCTCGTGACTGTAGTGTGTGGGGATGGAATGGATTCTTTGGCTCTGAGTCCAAAGAATACACACAAGCGTTAACCTCGTAACCTGTTTCTGATCCTTGTGTCCCTTGCAAACGAGAGGGGAAGAGGAAGTGAGAGGGGCCTTGCGGTGGCCAAGGTCTTACAAGCCTGCCAACTCACTCGTTACGCAAGATCTGCTCTAAGCGAAAGTCTTACTGAGTATCGACTCGTTTGTTGATAAGCCTGACGCTTGGACCATGATTTGATCGCCTTGCACAGTGGGTTTTGTCACGTCGATCTAACAGGTATTGGGTTCCATGGATTGTAAGACGGAACAAACACGCTGAGGGCAGAATGCACGAAAAACACAGATATCTCTCCTCCCCTTCCCTCTCCACGAATTTTACTTTCTATATTCACAAGTCTTTGAATAGCGAGTCTGCTACTTTCCTTCCTTCCTTCCTTCCTTCAGCAAGGGATTTGGTTCCCTTCTGAACCGGCATCGATACGTGCGATCTGAAAAGTTCAAAGCGGATTAGAATGTCATGTATCATCAACAATCTGAACTGGATACTGTCACTAACTCTTCTGTTGGAAACCTTAACTTTTCACAATAACTCTTTCATGATAAGCTATGATCTGCAGACTAGCCAGGTCGATGTGGAGCACTGGGAGCGAGAGTCGTTGGCGCCAGTAACGGTTATCAACTTCTCAGCAGCACATCCCAGATGAAGAGAAGTGAACCTGCAGCTGAATAAATGAATGAATTCTTTTCACCATTGCAAACGAGATTTCCCTCTAAATCCCCAACAACGTATAAAGTCAATCATGTAGCCCATCCCTGTCTAGTCTGCAATCGGGATTCCAAGTAGACAACAACCCAACTATGAGGTAACAAACTCAAAACACGATAAACAGGTAAAAATCATCTATTTAAGAAAGAACCAAATCCCGAACAAATGAATTGACTGTTTTGATTGGTAGAATTTTATTCATTGGTCTATGTTCCTTTGTCCATCGAACAAAACATGTGCTCGTCAAGGTAGGCAATAATGATACATTGCGATTGGCAGTATTTGTCTCGTGACTGTGCCAACTTTAATATGACAGCATGAAAGGGGAGAAAGCATGTGGATTATCGTATAATCCAGCCAATATTCTATATGAGTCAAGTGGCGACCAAGTAATATAACAAAAAGGATGGAAACCGATATTCCATCTTATCTCATTCGCATATTGCACATTCTTGTTGCCTCCACATAAAAACCAAAGACCTCGTGATCCTTAGACCCACGGAGGAGTCCCCGCTGGTCGAAGAAAGAATGAGCCAAGTTAGCAATGTCCATTATTCTTTTTGTCATCTGTTGAAGCTGGAAGATGCAAATCGAACCTGATCATCGTCATCATCATCAGTTCTTTACAGACTTTGTAATGAACTTTTGCAGGCCTACGCTGGCTCTGAAACGCTTCTTTTGGAGCAAAGTGAAAATTGCATTGTCGTTGAGCGAAAATGCCTCAGATTCTTCTGCACGCAAACTATCGTAGCCATTGTAGGAATTTAAGAATCTATCTACAAACAAACCTGGGGGATACTTTTAGACCAATGATGGAGAGATTTTCATAGCATTGAAGGCGCGGATTAGGGTTCGATAAAGTAAACTAGCTGACGCATAAATATTCTGGTTCCAAAATAGGCGAATGATTTGAACCTTGGTTATATTTAAGGCGCACAGCCACCCTTTGAAGGTAATGGGTGCCACTTGACTTTCGATAACAATGATGTATGACAGGTGGAGAAGTTTGGTTCTATTTAAATGTCCGGACGCAGTCGCGAATTGCTCGTTGATCCTTCGATTTTGAACAACATTTTGCACAAGTCTCGTCCAGAATACCGATGAGTTTTTCATATGGGTAGGTTTTATAAGCAACGTATAAGAATGATAATCAATACGACATTCGAAGGTTAATCTAAAGCTTATAATAATTGCAATATCGGGGCAATATGCCCAAATTTGCTTGACCCCATAGAAACTCAGGTTGTCACATCCAGATGAAGGTCTTGGGTTATTTCCACTTCAACTAATTTTTCTTGAAACTTAAATGATTGACTTTTATGGGGAAAAAATAATCTTTCAGCTTGTAGTTCCTTAAGTTTGGCAACAAGGTTTCTTCATGCAACATCTTTTATTTAAAAAAAAATCGATACATCACAGTGTATCGAATCATATAGAAATTACCAATTTAAATTTTTAAAATATGAAGTAACTCCTAACATAACTTCCCTTTGACTCAGAAATAACAAAAAATTCTAAGTCTTGTTATCCATACTTATATCCTGCAAAACAAGTTTTCAAGATTTTCTTTAGATTAGAATCTAAAATATAAAGTTTGCTTGAAACATGAGCTAATAGAAATCAAGAAGTAATCTACCAGCTAACCAGGAAAAAATAGAGGACAAACTTAAACCATAAAATTGTTATAGTATATTCACTAACACTCATTATGCAAAACTTGTAAAATATCTTTTAGGTATCTTAAAAAATTTAACTATTAGAAATTTTTTCAAATGTGAATACTTAATTGAGTTTATCTTCAATCTTGAATAACTTAAGTTTCTTATTGAAATTCATAATATGTATGATGGCAATATTGTTAACTGTTCTGAACATCCCTGATGTGCTAAAGATGACACATGTTTTGATGATCACATTAATAAGAGACAACATCATGTCATTTCATCTCACGGTAATAATATGTTTATTTATAAAAATAAAATTTTTCTATAGATGTTGATGCTTTGAACTTCATTTTAGCTTTTGTACTTTAGATTTTTCGATTACTAAGATGTGCAGTATTGCAAACAATATACTATACAAATGCATACATCCACACAGATAAATACATACTCACCTTGTAGACTACAGATAAAATCATTATAGTTTTTTGTGTAAAAGTTAATCATTAGTTTTCGTTTTTTTTATATAAAGTTTAAAATTCTTAAATTTTTTCATTCGTTCAAATCTTTTATTTTTTCTGCAATTTTTTATTATCTCTTACATTCATCAACGTTGAAGTGTTATTCTTTTGCAGAAAATAAGTATGTCTTAAAATATCAAAGCTAATTACGCGATATTGATTTGTATATATTGATAAATCTCTAATTTTTTTATTTTTTAAATATTACTCAAATGTGATATTTATTTGCTAAAGATCTTTCTTTATTTATATGTAATCTATATACTATTAGTAATCTAATGTAATTATTTACTTCTATGATTTATACAAAAAGTTGTAATAACCTCTATATCAATGATTATAGAAACGAATTTTGCATCAAATGCAAATTCAAGTTCTAGCATGCTTTGCTACAATATATTATACGAATATATTTATAATTAACAATAATCACTTCTCTGAATTCTTTATCCTCAATTTAGTACTCAAGCTTTTATAACTTGATTTTTTAGATGTTCTTGTATGTGAGGTAACACAGAATCACTTCGTTCCATATCTGTAGAAGTATCATCTCATGATATGTAGAAATTAAAGATGAACCACAAACCCTGCGCCAATCAAAGAGGCTCCTTTCACCAGAAAAATCCCACCAAGATTCATTGTGATACTCTAATGACACTTCTTGGGAAATGATTTACATACTATTCTTTTCAAAAAAAATTCATTGTCAGAAAAGTTTTCTTAATTTTAATTATTGTTGATCCTTAGAAAGCACTGGTTTTATTACGGAGCTACAGAAAAATAAAACATGTTATCCGGTATGACAAGCTTATTGATGAACCTTGCTTGTCAAATGGCTCTTAATATCTATCGTTGCCCAGAAAAATATCCTATAGACCCAATGTTAACACATCTATATGCCTGATCCAGCAGAAAAAATGTTTGAAACTGAGGAGTATTTCCAACAGCAATAATGACGTCATACAATATGTCTCATGTTGCTAAACGTTTAATGCGAAGAATGTGTTCCAGCTGTCCAACCTTGAACAAAAGATATTGTTCACTAAACAGTCACTTAGCTCAAGAATTTACTTATGGTTGCTTCCGATTCTCCTTCTTCTTTTGACTCTGCAGTTCTTGAAACAATTCACCGCACAATTATCTCTGAACTCTCCCATCTTGACCTTTCGATCCCAGAAGTATCCCCAACCTCTTTAGTCTTACCTTTCTACCCCACATACTTCCTGTGGTATTGCACAAAAGCTTTCATTTCGTCAAACTTTAATCTTCTCTTTAACAAGCCGCGTAGAAGAGAGACGACCACACATTAATCCAAAATGACTCCAATTGATCAATCACGAAACTGACCTTAGAAAAAAACTTCCTCAAATTCACAAATGTGCCCATGGCGTGTGCACTCCAAATGCTACGATGGGACTTTTTTGTGCAAACTTTTTTACAATTTATATTCACACGTGCGATCGATTCCTTTGCACCAAACATACAAAAAAAATCATCTTTATGCAACACTAAGGTATATATTTGTAACCACGTGTATCAAAAGATTTAATGAATCTACGTTTTCAAATAATATGCTGAGACGTCTTGCATTCTTGTTCCGATATCAATTGTGGTCCAAAAACACAGAGATATGCATACATGCAGAGAGTTTGATAGAGTCTATATGTAGTTCAAGCTATGTGCACTTGGACACGACGAATCTTTACTATAACACATCTTTGAGAACTACCACAAGCTGTCTAATATAATAGCTGACTGATTAGTTTGACTATCTAGAGTTAACAATATCTGATATAATTCCTAACACTCGATGTAAAGCTGATGCATGACTCATAACGGACGATGGGATAGCGAAGTAGAGCAAGTTATAGAACCTTGCAAGAACTCCAAATCAATGCTTACCCAATTCGATGCAGTCTATTGAGCCCGGGAGAAAGGAGTGGATGTTGATGTTCACAAGTGTAAGTTTCTCCCCAAGAGAATGGAGTCAAGAACAAAAACACATAAATCTGGTTTGGTTTTTAGCACCAACGGGATTTGCCAATCGAGTGTGAGCTAGATTTCTTTGAGCACTTCTTATGGCTAATTGGCATCAACAGCCCCTTGGTCTCTGCACTAACGTATGCGCCAGGCTTGAGCAATCTGCCTCTACTATGACCCATAACACGGCTGAAACCTTAAAGATATGGACATCCGAAACTGGTTCTAGCCGTCGCCACACGCA